GTCTAATCGAATTAATTGAGAGTAACTAATGTAATGTTTCCCCTTAATGTGTGAGGCTCAGTGTTGGGAAAGTTAACTTTCTACATGAACTAGTTCAAAGTTCAGTTCACAAATTTTCACTATGATGCGCGTTCGTGACTCTCCTGTTTGGACTCGTTCATCAAAATGAACGAATCTTTTCCCGAGTCAATTGGTTCGTTGAATGAATCAAATGACTCGGAAAAAGATTCGTTCATTTTGATGAACGAGTTCGAGCAGGAGAGTCACGAACGCGCATCACAGTGAAAATTTGTGAACTGAACTTTGAACTAGTTCATGTAGAAAGTTAATTCATCATCTGGAATCGTGACTTTATCGGAATACATTTTTAAAGTAACCCTCCCAAGCCTGGTGTCTTGTGTTGCCAGATTGGGTGTTTTTTTGCTACATATTAAGGCCTGTTTACGTGCGTTTTAGCCTGGATGGCTCTATAGAAATCTGCCACCCGATTGTACGAAGTCAAACTGAGAGAGCGTGCGTTCAGAGACACCAGAATGAACGCGTTCACTGTAACGTTCATCAGGCCGTAATACAGTAACTTACGTTCAGTTCACGTTCGCCTGAAATATGAACGATCGTTCAATGAACGCGTTCAGGCACTGTCGTGTATTTTCTTACTTGACCAGCAATAATGAATTGAATAAACTGAACTGTTTACTGAAGTTTCTGAACTTGAATCATTAGATACAGCGCTCGGTTCTCAATATGCGTTCTTGTCTGTTCTTGTGGACTTGAGAAACGTCATCAGTCACGGCCCAAGTACTGTTCCAATGCAAAGTTCACATCTAGCCAAGTCCACTTCAAATCCCCGGATGTGTTCTTGATCCGCCCCGTTAAACGTTTACCGAGGATGCATCGAGAGGTGACTTGTGCGGACTTGAGATAGTCAGGTATCCCAGAATGCATCTCGCGTCAACCAGCAAGCGTCAATGGGAGAGGAGAAAATCCGCGAAATATCAAAATACTACTGTTATTGAGTCATGAAATATAATTTTAAGAGTGTTTCAGGCGAGAATGTGGTTGTTTAAATCTCAAATCTGTGGTTTATTTATAAAGATAGCACCTAGTTCAAACATGTATCTGACGTTTTCGGCGCTCATCAACCCCGACTGGAACAGCTTTTCCTCGGCTATGCTTCTACCGTTTGCCGCTGGCACAGATGTCTCGTTTAGTGGATAAACTTGACGTATAATTCGTTTTGTGTAAAAGTCTATCTTTGGTCTTGTCTCATTTAACTAGTTTGTTCCATGGCAACCCCCCCCCCCCCCCCCAAAAAAAAAAAAAAACCCGATTTATATATATATATATATTTTTTTTTTACATGATCTTCACTAAAATAAAATGAACTATGTCTTTGTCTTTTAAATGTCAATAAAAATCAATAGGCCTAATGTTTCATATTTTTAAAATGAAAACAAAAAGATCATGTTCATTTTGTTATTAATATATGGAGGCCTGAACCACATGGCCAAATATGTTTAAGATTTTTTTTTAATGAAAAGAGGCAAAGTGGTGTTTCATAAGAAATTTCGTTTTGTTTTTGACGAAAAGAGGCAGAGTTGTAGCATATTTCGTTTTATTGTTGCCTAAAATATATAAAATAGATGGGCTAAACGGAGTAGTCAGAGTGACGCGATCAAGTACGCTCTGTTCCATTTGCAGAAGAACCGGACTTGCGTCCTCGGGAGTTCGTTATCCTGAGTCATACTTGGCAAGTCTGAACTACCAAGGACGCAAGTCCGAACTTTGCGTACTTGGTGTTGAGAAACGGCTGTAATCAATCTCACTTCCACTTTTTTCCTATGAACACTGATGCATTATTGGTAGAATTCTCTTAAAGCTGAACAACCCCATTAATGACAAAACTGTTTCTGTTATTATTAAAGATAACAATTTCACATTTCTATTCTAATTAATTCACAACACTGCATTAGCTGTTATTATTAAATGACTAAAAGAATAAGGAAGTGCAGTGAACATAAAAGCTTTTTTTTTTGCCACAGAGAGGCCGTAAAGTTGTTTGTGGATCCAGTGAGGGCACCGTATACATTTTCAACTGGAATGGTTTTGGTGCCACCAGTGACCGTTTCGCAGTTCAGGCCGAGTCTTTGGACAGTATCGTCCCCATCACAGACAACATACTGTGTGCTGCCTCTACTGATGGAGTGATAAGGTGAGGAACAGATGTTTTCTTACTTTCTGTGTTCATGGTCTTATCTCACTTTGTGTGTGTGCGCATACATGTCAGCAGTAAGGCACTCGAGGCATGCTGTTTTGTAAATAAGGATCTTGTTAGGCACGACGTGAAGCGAGACTATTCACAATACTGCATGCCTCGAGTACCAAAACTGTTTCGACAAAGAACATAGATGCATTAATAAAGCTTTATTGTAAATAGATTAAGATGATCGGCTACCGGAGTATTATTGATAAGTTGTGAGAAGGGGCAGGATTAAATAAGCTCACGCTTCTTCCTACTCCTTTTTCGGACATGTATAAGTTAATATTATTTTTAATTTCATATTTAATGTTTTTTTTTTTTGCTTTCTGTTTTGCTGAGTATTTGTTGTTATTAAGTTTTTGTTTTTGTCATTAAGTTTTATTTTTGTTCCTATACTTGTTCGAAATTATGGAAGCGTATTGCATTCACTTGAAGAAAAAAAAAATCGACTCTTTTTCGGAGTTAATTATCTCAGATTTACGAGAATTTTTCATGGAAAAAGGTTTTGCTTTGTTTCTCTGAATTAGTGACTTGATTATCTCAAAAATTATGAGTAACTCATTAATTCAGAAAAACAGAGTGAAATATTTTTTCCATGAAAAATTCTTGTAATTCTGAGATGATTAACTCATTAATTCAGAAAAACAGAACAAAAACGTTTTTCCATGAAAAATTCTCGTAATTCTGAGGTGATTAACTCGTTAATTCAGAAAAACAGTCGTTTTTTTTCCTCAAGTGAATGCAATGCGCTTCAGAAAGAAAGAAAGAAAGAAAGAAAATTATCAGCATTAGGACTGTTTAAATGGTCACGTGAAAAAGAAAGTACAGCCTTTTTGAATTTTATAGTTTTATGCATCACTTCAGGACATGATAAAAAATCATCTGGTCTTCAGCAGGTCTTAAAATGAGGTAAAAGCAACATCAGATGAACAACACCACATGACATATTACTGTGTCATTGTTTATTTAACAAATGGAGAAGTCATGCATGACAAACCAAGTACACCCTTACTGCTTTCCATAGGCATTAAAAGGGTAAGTAGCAGTCAGACGTTGATATCGACAGGGTGAACATCCAATGAAATGAGTAAAACTAATGATAAAACACTTAAAGGGTTAGTTCACCCAAAAATTCTGTCAGTATTTACTCACCCTCATGTTGTTCCAAACCTCTATGTGTTTATTTGTTCTGCTGAACACAAAGGAAGATATTTGGAAGAATGCTTTAATCAAACAGATCTCATTCCCCATTGACTACCATCAATGGGGAATGAGATCTGTAAATACTGACAGAATTTTCATTTTTGGGTGAACTAACCCTTTAATTTTGCAGGGCCATCAGTATCTTGCCCAACCGTGTGGTGGGCAGTATCGGACAGCACGTCGGCGAAGCCATAGAGGAGATCGCGCGATCGAGAGACTCGCGTTTCCTGGCCAGCTGCGCTCATGATGAGCTGATCAAATTCTGGGATATCTCCAGTTTACCCGACATGAAGGTCACCGATTATCGACGCAGAAAGAAAAAAGACAGACGCCTCAAAGCTCTGAGTAATAAAGCTTTTGATACGGGACAGAATTTCTTCGCTGGCCTTTTAGACACAACTGAGGAAAACCGTAAAGAAGAAGAAGAAGAGGAGGAAGAGGAGGAGGAGGATGGCGACGATGATAGCGGAAGCGACTGAATATAATTTATTGCAATCACATTTGCAGTATTGTGTTGACCTAATTAATGTATATTTTTAGATTAACATCTGAATCTGTTTCACATTTATATTTGTATAATAAATTTTTTTAGCCTCAATTTCAAAATATATCCAATGCTGTCATGTTCTTGTTTGAGTTACGGCTCCTTAATCAACACACAAACGTTTATTGCCCAAAGAATGCAACAAAAGACAAATTTACTGTAGAATTTATTTATTTTTTTATATCTAATACTACTTATGGCCTAAACTAGCAATTTAATTATTGAACTAAAAATCCAATACGTCCAAGATCAGGATGTTAGGAAATGTTTTTTGTTTTTTACTCAGGCGAAAGTCCAATGCACTTTCAACACAACCATGAAATTAAAGGAAGTAGCTTATTTATTGAAAATAAATACATTTTAAGTGAGAACAACATATTCAGAACATTTTATGATTGAAGTGTATTTAAACTAAATATGTGTATGCATGAGAGAGAGATACAGATAATCATTAATTTATGCCAGTAAAAAATAATCTGTTGAACAAACTTAATTCAATTAAGGAAAGGTTTTCCACGAAATTAAATTAAATCAAATTAGTTTGAAATAATTTGTTGTAATCTTGTTGTATGAATTTAAATTAATTTAGTCATTCCTCTTAATGCAGTCCCTTGCAAAGCATGCTGGGAACTACAGATCCACTGCCTAGTTAGATGTCAACAACAATGATTAATGTAGATTTCACACAAATGAATTAGGTTGATTGAACACAATTAAATTAAGTTGTGACAATATTAAACAATCATGCTACTTTTGCTTATTTTAATTAATTATTCATCCAAAATTCATTTTTTGAGTGACATCCGTTTAAGACGAACGAAAAATATTCATGTTGACTCAATTAAAAAATAAATAAATTGGTAAACCAAATTTTTAAAAGATTACATTTAATGAAATTAAGCTGGAATCATTTCTATGAAGGATTGTGTCGTATATGCTCATTTTAATTAATGAAATTGATCAAAGAGCTAAAATCATTTTTTTTTGTCTGAGACCCCCTTTTTCCCAAGAAATATTTTAGGGCCCCCCTTCACATTTAATTATATTATCGCTCTTGTAAGCTTGCAGAAAGGATGACAACATTTTCTTTTTCAAACAAACGGTGTTTATGCACAAATAATAGCCTATAATATTAAAAATACAATAACAAAACCATCAGTAGGCCATTTGTAATTTAAAAACGTTAGCCTAGGAGAAGTCTAAATATTGGCTCTATTTAAAATGCAAAACCATTCACACTGGTGTGTAGGTAAAAAAAAAAGAAAGAAAGGCTATTATTAAATTACTCTTGTCCAGGGCCTCAATACTTGCATGTTATTTGTGAGGCTTTATCAATGTGACGCTTAATTTTTTAAACTTTTGCGATAATAAACTTGCATTTATTAACAGAATCATGCGTCTTTCGGAGAGAACCGTGTAGCCGGAACTACTTTTCTCTGTGTAAAATAGTCCCAATGTAAACACTTTTTATGGGTGTACCATAGTGGTTCAGGATACGACAAAAATACGGATTGGAAAATGGACTCATTATATACATTTTGTAAATTGAACATAAAAAAGTTAAGGACTTTTATTTAATGCGCGTTGCTCAACCGATGCTGTACACACCAATGGAATTGCTGAAATTCATGATTGTAATATAATCAAAAATGCACCACCGAAGAAATGCCGCCTTCAAATGCCTCGCAAGCCAGATAAAAATATATCAAAAGTAAATCAATCAATTTACACATTGATTGATTTAAGAAGCTGATTGGCTACTCCAGACTGACTGGAGTCGATGGAAAGTCTTCGCTCTTTTGAGGGAAGGAAATAAAAGCTGCACCGTCAGGCTCGATCATCAGAACTTCTCCATTCTTGCTCTCATCTTTCACAAGAACAAGGAAGGCCTTGGCAACCGCATCGACCCTGTAACAAAATTACAACTATTACATGGACTGTATGCATCCTGTCATCCGTTTCTACATTTTGGTGTCAAGTTCATAGTCATGCATCTCTCTCCCGAGAGGAAGGATAAACGTGTTAACTCACTCCAGACAGCCTTTGTTCTCCATCATCATCTCCGTCATGTCTTTCAATGGAAAGAAACTTCCGGTGTGCTCTTCTGATTTCATGAGGGACAGAAAACTGGTGTTCACAAACCACGGACAGAGGACGTTGATTCTCACCCCATAGTCAACCAACTTTGAAACGGCCTATTTGACGCATGCAATTAAAGAAAATAACCTTTTTCACAACATGATGCATTATTTTTCACCACTCAGACCGAAGACAAAATACATACCGCCATGGCACGACTAAATCCCACCACGCCATGTTTAGTTGCTGTGTAGATGGGCGCAATTGGCAACGGCCCTAGACCTGCAAAGATTCAGTCAAGGCGATAATTTTAAAAATGTCATCCCCATGTGGGAAATGTCCAATGGGGTCTAAAACATCTTTGGACCCCAATGACTTTCATTGTATGGTCAAACTAGCAAAATAGCCTTAATTTGTAAAAACATCTTAATAAGATGTAAAAACATCTTAATTTGTGTTCCACAGAAAATGGAGAAGAAGAAAAAAAAACCTTTTGAGAACTTCATTCAGTCCGTTTATTTATGGAGACTATATCAAACCTGCCATAGATGCAATGTTGATAATGACTCCGCCATTACCACCATTTTCCTTCTTCATATGTTCTAGAGCCAGATATGTGCCTCTAACCACTCCACCCTGAAAGACGACATGAACAGCAAGACATTCAGCTGAAGCAAAGATCGACTGACAGACAGATAGGACAAATAAACAGATTAGATAGACAGACAGACACCTACCAGGTTTATTGCTATAGTCTTTTCCCACTGTTTCTCATTGAGGATTCCTGCATTGTTGCACATAATGTCAATGCGGCCAAACTTTTCTACAATTCTTTCCAAAACTCCTGTAAAGGAAAATGTGAAAAATCTATGAGATATCCTCAATCTTTTTCACTCGATGATCTGCTGTGAAGTTGTTTGTCCTGTAACGGACATCTGATATCGTAAGTCATTTCATTAACATGGTCGTGTAATCATTTAAACATCTTGACCTTTAAAATCTTCCTCTGATGAGACATCGGCAGCATAAAATTCAGCTCTGTCACGTCCATACTCCTCTGCAAGTGTGGTCTTCAAATCATTTCCCACTGATTTATTCACATCTATTAAAGCCACCTGTAATCAAAATAATCACCAAAAACTATTAGCATATAGTACAGTACAGAACAATACGTAATAGTAGCTTATAGTAAAGTAGGTGCCTTTTGTATCCTTCATCGATTTTTTTTTTGACTTGTTGGCCATATTATATAATAGCATACAACTAATATGTATATATATATATATATATATATATATATATATATATAGATATAGATATAGATATAGATATATATACCACCCTTTACATTTTGACTCCATGCAGTCTTATCGCAGCCAATTATTATCCAATTATTACCAGACAATAACAAAGCTTATGCAACGACTGACCTACAAAAATTTAAAAAAGGCTAAATAATTTCTGAAAAAACGTTGGACCTGACATATTAAAAAGCAACGATATTTTGTAAAAGGTCGAAAGGTACTAAAGGACATCGAATTATTTCTTCATTTTGCTATCCAGAATGATCGGCTGCTGTTTTTTTTTATTTTATTTTATTTATGCGATGTATTATTTATTTTAAAGTAGAGCTTTTTGCTTTTCTTAGGTCCAGTGTTTTTTTTTGTTTTTTTGTTTTTTTCCTCAGTAGACTTTCCAAATTTGGTAAAAAACAAAAAAAAGTCTTGTCATTCTGTGACGTGAAGCGGCGCGAGCTCAGTCCTTCAGCTTGAGTCTTTACAGTACTGTGTATAAGATGCTTGATTTCGGCTACTTTTATTTGTACTTGTGACCTACAAATAAAAACAAACAAAAAACATTTTTGATACATTTTATAAATTTTTTTTATTTTACCTTTGACCCATTTTTCAGGAGTATTTCGACAAAGCTTCTGCCCAAACCCTGAGCTGCTCCGGTCACAACAGCAACTTTATCCTTTAAATCCATCATCACCAGCCACACACACCTGAGAAAGAAACACACACGAGTGGCAAAGAAAAGAGTAGGCTTTGCAACAAGTTTAGAACACGTCCGAAACGAGATTGTCTGTTGCTGGGTGTTTACAAAAACATCGATGCTGCTATATAAATTAAAATGCTGCTTTTTCTAGACTCATAAAAGCAGAACAACACAAATTAACATTGTTTTTCCTGTACGTCCGAACAGCGTGACTAACTAGTAACTTTGACGGAACTTGTCGGATATCTTTGAGATGGTACTTACAGTAGCAGCTCTGCAGGGTTGCCAGGTCCCAGAAATATTTCAAGCCCAATGACAACTCAAAACCCGCCCAAATGGGCCAATTTTCCAGGGTCCAATCAGATTAGACAACCGCTAGATTCCCACAAAGGGCCTTAAAATAGGCTATATATATAAATTGTGTCCCTCTACAGGTGAAACTTGAAAAATTTGAATATCATGAACAAGTTATAATTTTGATGATTATGGTCATCCAGGTAAGTTGTGAGAAAGGGCAGGATTAAATATGCTCATGCTTCTTCCTACTCCTTTTTCGGACATGTGTAAGGTTTAACGTTTTTAACGTTTTTTTTTTTTGCTTTCTGTTTTGCTGAGTATTTGTTGTTATTAAGTTTTTGTTTTTGTCATTAAGTTTTATTTTTGTTCCTATACATGTTCGAAATTACGGAAGCGTATTGCATTCACTTGAAGAAAAAAAAGCGACTCTGTTTTTCTGAGTTAATTATCTCAGAATTATGAGAATTTTTCATGGAAAAAAGTTTTGCTCTGTTTTTCTGAATTAATGACTTGATTATCTCAAAAAATTACGAGTAGCCTAACTAATTAATTCATAACAGAGTGAAATATTTTTTGCAGCTTATGAAAACCCTAAATTCAAAATCGTAGGAAATTAGAATACATAAAATAAATATATAAAAAAGGGTTTTAAATACAGAAATGTCGGGCCTCTGAAAAGTATAATGATGCATGTGTATATAGTTTCACCTTTTAATTTGAATTACTGAAATACATGAACTTTTGCATGATGTTCTAATTTTTCGAGTTTCACCTGTAGGCTATATATACGGTCACAAATGAGAACTTGCTCTCAACCGATTAACCTGGTTAAATAATAGTTAACCTGGTTATTAAAAAAACTATATATATATATATATATATATATATGTATATATTGTTTTTTTAATACTTGCCAAAAGCAAGTGCTGTCGCCTTGCTTTTGGCTTGCTTTAAGCTTGCTCAGTTGGGGTTATTTAGTGTTTAGCAATGTTGTTGATCTGTGTTGTGCTACTTTCATGTTATCAGTGTGAAGCTGCTTTGATACTATCTGTATTGTGAAAAGCGCTATATAAATAAATGTGACTTGACTTGACTTGACTTAATAACCAGGTTAACTATTATTTAACCAGGTTAATCGGTTGAGAGCAAGTTCTCATTTGTAACCGTATATAGCCTACAGGTGAAACTCGAATATATATGTATGTATGTATATATATATATATATATATATATATATTGATATAAAGTTTTGGCCTTTTGTCTCAACCAAAATCTTAACATCACACACTGTGTTTTTTTTTTACACAATCTCATACAATAAAGGTCAAGAACTTGTTCTCTCTGATATTTTCTGACCTTAGTCACTTCCTAAATGATCAACAGTTGAAGTGCTTGAGTGACAAGCGACGTGGGCAGTCAGCTTCAACTCTGCCTCTTTCACAGCAACAAGTTATTAGAAAGGAACTTTGCCTGTGTCAAATTGTTTTTTTTATATATGTTCTTCAGTCGCAGCATAAGCTACTATCACTGTGGTGAACTCTGATTTCACATTTGCAATATTTGCAGAACGTTTTTTTTTATCATCATTTGGAACAACACGATATGTCTATGAACACATGCTGTTACGTCAAAAACACATTTGACGCGTGTCACGCGTCCACTCGCCAGCCACAGTGGTTGTTGCCAAATATTCATTTCAACAACACCCACTAATAAACGGTTACCTTTTATTTTTTTCTTTGTCTACAATTTTATTATTATTATTATTTGCGGCCGCAGTACATAATAAATATAGCCCAAAAAACGCAACCCGCAACTCCGTAATTTCTCCCCGCTACTCTTTTTTTTTTTTTTAAATAGCCCAATTGTGCGGGAAAACCGTTAATAATTTATCTGGAAAATCTCGAGGAAGATTCGGTTTCGGCACTCGATTCAATTCCTCCCTTCTCTTCTTAGCAATTTCTTGTCTAATCTACTGTATTTGTGAATACAATTTTCATAGTCGTTACAGTCAAGCCTACGCCATAGTAGAGTTGGTGTAAGATAAGCGCCCTCTAGTGGCCAAGCGTCGGTATTCGGAGTGGCGCTGGCGCATGCGCAGAGGAAACCCAAACGGTGTGTGTAATGGCTGCCTGATGGAGTAAGTGAATTTAGATGCTTCTTCTCTTCTGCTTGTAATTTGACCGGAGCAAACCGGAGAACGCCTAACAAGACGTTTGAGCTAAAATGGTTTATATTCACTCAGGGGCGCAGCCCACGACGAAATCTAACCGCGTGAAGTGATTAAACAACATGTAAGTCTATTTATATTATAATTATCGTAGCATTTGTAAGGGGATAACGGACACAGTTCTGTGTTATGCTGTTAGCTGAGCAGATACTAACGTAATTAAAATGAAATGCTACATGCTAAACTCATTCCCTTCAAAAAACGATACTCGCTAATGTTTTAAGTCCTCTGAATCGGTTAAAGTTAAACGAATCACTAGCATTAAGAATATATCATTTAGTTAGCGCAAACTCGCTACAGCCAGAAGTCATTAATTATGGTTCAGGTTTACATTTAATCACGTAACTTACTCTGACGTATTTTCAGTGTAATATTAGGTTTATGTAAGGTTTATTTATGCAGTGTTTCGCCAGCGTTTTTGTTTTTTTATATTTTGAACTGTGTGACTGTTGATGTGTCGGGGTTACTCGAGTTCAAACACGTTTATCACGTCAGGCGTAACTATAGTCCACGTGAGTTTAAAGATGCGAAATTCAACACTATTTTCTCTTTACAGCACAATTAATTGATATTGTTGACTAAAGCAGCATGTTATGTAAGTGTAGTGTAGTGGATTTTCCATCCTGTGGTAATAAGAGAAGTGGGTGTGTCGTTCCTTCCACCCTGTATTACCGTGGTTTCGTTTTTTGTTGTTGCTTATTATTATTGTTTACAGGATTCTTTTATGAATTGAAATTTCGATTAACAGCATTTATTTGAAACAGAAATCTTTTGAAAAATTTTAAATGGCTTTGGTGTTTTTTAAATCAATTTATAACGTCCTTTGTAAATAAAATCTCCATCTGTCTCTTTAATCCACACTTTTAAATAGTAGTTTATCACAGTTTCCACAAAAATATTCAGCAGCACAACAGTTTTCAGCATTGATTATATTAAGAAATGTTTCTTGAGCATCAAGTGATTTCTGAAGGATCATGTGACACAAAAGACTAAAATTACATTTTAAAATGTATTAAAATAGGGGTAACACTTTACAATAAGGTTCATTAATTAAACATTAGTTAATGTATTAACTAACATGAACTAACCATGAGCAATACATTTGTTACTGTTTTTGTTAATCTTTGTTGACGTTAGTTAATACAAATCCAGCTGTTCATTGTTTGTTCATGTTAGTTCACAGTACATTAACTAATGTTAACTAGATTTTAATAAAATATTAGTGAATTTTAAAATTAACAAATGAAGAGTTCAGATGCAAAAGCCTCTAAATGCCATTTAAAATTTTCTTCTTTAATGATGATTTTTATCAAACTTGTAAATTTAGGTTCAGTAATTTCACTTAAATAACAATTAGTAGGTAATTATCATTGCCATTTAAATGAAATCGCTGAACTTAAATATACAAGCTTGACAAAAATGATCATTCTAGAAGAAAATTTCAAATGGCACTTCAAATATTAACAAATGCTAAAGCAGTATTGTTCATTCTTAGTCAATGTTAACTAATGAACCTTATTGTAAAGTGTTACCAAAATAGGAAATAGTTGTTTTAAATGGCAATAACCTTTCCCAATATTACTGCTGACTGTATTTTTGATCAAATACATACATATTTATGCATAACTTCTTGAGTTGCTCTCGTGATGAATGTCTTAAAACAAGCTATGTTTCTCTCTCAGTTGAAATTGAGGCCTGTTTGGTGCCCTACTGGTCATGGCAATGAAGACCCGCGTGGAAGCGGTTCTGAACGTGGGTCTGCGGATCCCCAGCATCATGCTGCTAGAGGTCCTGTACCGATGGGACGTCAGCTCCTTCTTCCAGAAGATCCAGAGAAGCAGTCTCAACAATAACCCCCTCTTCCAGTACAAATATATAGCCCTGTACCTGCATTATGTCGGTATGTACAAACACAACAAGCAACCTCTCCCTGTCTATACAACAAACACTGAATGACACTGACATGAACTTCAAGACCTTATAGGCTACATTCACACTGTCAGTTTTTGGGATTGACAACCGTATTTACCTACAGGTTTGAGTCTCAAAATGTCCTGTTTACACATCAACTTGCGTCTGTATGAACGTGCAACAGGAGTCAAGCCTGTTTTCTCTTATCAGTAAACCAAAGCGACAGTGGCCAAAGTGATATCAAAGATGGCGATGTTCATAAAACTGAGAGTCTTTTGACACGACAATCGAGCCGCGAGTTCATCCGTCAAGTCTTATTAACCGACAGGAGCTTTTATATTCTTTCTTCAGTCTTTTTTGTTGAAAACATTCAAGGTTTTTTCTCCATATAATGGACTTCAATGGGGTCCAAATGAGAGTTTCAGTGCGACACCAGACGATGAATAAGGGTCTTATCAAGCGAAACGAGCGGCCATTTCAAAAATAAATAAAAAAATTTAAGTTTTATAAGCACAAATGCTCGCCTTGCTCTGTTCTGTGACGCGCGTTCCTGTTCAAACTCGTTCATCAAAATGAACAAATCTTTTTTTGAGTCATTTCGTTCATTGAACAAATGATTGAAACTGTCATCTGGACCTTGAACTATTGAAGTCCATTATATGGAGAAAAATCCTGGAATGTTTTCATCAAAAACCTTAATTTCTTTTCGACTGAAGAACGAAAGACATGGACATATTGCGTGACATGGGGATGAGTAAACTTCATAAAATGTAAAAATGCAATTTTAAAGTGTAGGTTCATGGCTAGTTTTCTGTTTGTGATAGTAATACTGATGTTACACACACATTAATGTTGTGTGTGTGTGGGTGCTTGTTTTCCTGGCTGTGTGCTCTCTGTTGAGGAAAAGCAGAGTGCTAGTGCAGTGTTTGTACTCTGGCTCGAGTCCTCTTGTAATGGGCCAGTGGAAACGCAGAGTCAGGAGTTGGGAAGATTTTTATGATGGGAACGGTCTTGGTTGTTAGTCATTCAAGCAATAATTAAACTATCGAACTGCAAGCTGTAATTAAGCTCCGTTCTGTGTCATGATGCCTGTTTTGTTTGTGTCAAAGAAAATGAGGAAAGATGAATTAACTCTAGAGAGCAGCATTTTGTATTATAACACATTTATTATATTTTTACTAGTGCTGTCAAACGATTAAAATATTTAATCACATTGACGTCATAGTTTCCGGTCTAGCTAAATCCGGTGCTTTCAGACAGGACCTGGAGTGTGCGGCACTACACCAATTTTCAAATTTTCCAATTTTCTATTGGCCGCGCTGGTAGTCGTCACAGCGGCAAAAGTTGAGCTATTTTGTAGGGCTGGGTAATAAATATCGATTTCTCGATATTAATCGATTCTCATTTTTAGGAACCGATATCGATTCTTAAATCTCAAGAATCGATTAGTCATCCTGTTTCATTTGAATGAATGGAACATTGTATCGCGGCTGCGCGCATCCAAAAAAATCGCAATAATCTTTGTCCTTTGTTACTATTGATATGAAACAAAGTCTCAATTTTCAAATTACGTCCATTTTCTTTAGAAATTCAAAAACATAAATAGCGTTTTGGCGCTGTGGCGTGAGATCGCTCTGGAGAAGCAGCAGCGCTAATCTCTCTTCCGGCTTAATAATACCAGTCACAGCGCCAAATAAACATGAATGAGTATCTGAAAGTGTGTTAAAGATAGAGTACAACTTATCCAAATCCGGATCATGTCACATTGATTCGCTCAATCAGCGTTTCAACCGTGGAAAGACGTCAGTTAAACAGCTTGTAATCAATGTCATGTATCGTCATATTTACCTCAGAAAACCAACATAAACTCGTTAGTCAGCTAGAAAAAATAACTCTAGAGAGGAGCATTTTGCTAAATATATACACCATATTACATATGCATTATAATCTTAATGCTCTTCAATATTTAATGCATATTTGAATAAATCTGGCAAGTTTTTATGACAGCCACCATTGAAATGTTTATATTTCATATAATCTTATTATAAAAGTGTAATTTAAGTGTTTGTATAGCTACAAAACAGTTAATTATTACCTTCATATTAGGCTAATGAAGCCTATAGGCTACAATTAGACTCCCATAGTTTACAGCATTAGTTAAGAGATTTGATTCCCTTGAGAAAAATGGCCATATCCAAAATAATTGATATTGAATCGAATCGTAATTGAAATCGAATCGAATTGCAAGCTTGTGAATCGAAATCGAATCGAATTGTGAAATTTGTCTCAATACCCAGCCCTACTATTTTGTGTGTGCGCCGCTGCGCTTGCGCTTTGGTCGACGAAGCAAAAACACGTTGCTTGAAATTACGTTAATGGGTTTCATAGCGCCGCGCTTGCCACGTCCTGTTGCAAAAGCATGTGAAAAAAACATCCAAGTTTGCTAGGCCAAAAAGACCGTTAATCTCGCAATAAAAAAATTAATCGCGTTAAAATGGGTTTGCGTTAACGCCGGTAATAACGCGTTTAACTGACAGCACTATTTTTTACCTTTTAATGATGTCTTTTTTTAATGTTGAATAAATATGTCTTGAAAACAAGTTATGACAGCCACCGTTTAAATGGGTTCATTTCTACAACGCAAATTTCATGAATTGAGTAAATGAGCAGAAACATATTGTACACTCGATCATGTGTTGTTGCAGGCGTCATGTCCAGCAGCAGTTTCATCTGTAATGAAAATGAAGGAGTTGTTAAACGCTTAATAGTTCATTCTGTGTCTGATTTGATCCGGCTGCCTGTGGTTGACTTTGCATTGCAAATACAGTTTTGACTACTCAATTTATCCAGAACCCTAGTGTGCAAACTGCTAAACATCCAGTGACAATGATGTGAATTCCTTTATTTAGAAAATAAATGTCACTTAAACACATTTTCTGAGCTGCCTGGAAGTTAAGAGGCATGCAATGAGTTTATTGAGCTTATGCCAAAGGCCGGCTCTCTGTTAGTTCATTGTTTTTCAGTATTATTAGTTAATGGCTTGTTTCCACTGAGGGGTACGGTACGGTACGGGTCGGGTACACCATGATCAGGCTTGCGTTTCCACCGCCAACAGTACCCTTACTTGATAGGCGTGGTATGCTGGAAAGAAGCGATCGACGTCATTTTCGCGCGAAGAAAGCGACATAGTAAACAATAATGGATGACAGATAGCAGATCTTGTTCTTGCTTCTCGGCATGTTTGTCACTAGAAACAAGCGCTGGCATTAGGCGTTTCCAAGAAGCCAACGCAAAGTCCGACACAGGAGAATGATCCCGAGGACGCGAGTCCAGTAATTCTGCTAATGGAACAGCGCGTTCTTGAACGCGGCACTGATCAGCTCGCTCTGGCTATGCAACTCCGGTTATCTCTGTATGTTCATTTTAGGCAACAATAATACGAAATATGTCATAAAACACCACTCTGCTTCTTTTCGATTTCATTTCAATACATTTTAAACATTCTAAAGCACATAAATGTGGTTCAGGCAATGCATAGCCTATTGATTATATTCTGCATGTAGCCTAATGTTATATATTTATAACAAAACTAAATATAAAACAACCCTGCCTCTTTTTGTTTAAATTTAAAAATATTAAACATATTCCAGGCAATATGTAATGTAATGTATTGCATAGGCTATCGCATTGGTACAAAATGTTGCAATAAACAACATTAGCCTACGATGATCTTGTAATAAAATAAAAAAATGACAAAACTTTCTCTTTTTGTTGAATTTCAGTTTTAACAAAAATTGCCATTATAAAAGTATAAATAAAAAGATTACAGTAAAGCTTAAATAACATCAAGAAACAATTCAGTCAGTCAAATATACAAATTCAGCGCTCAAAGATATGAAACTTCACGTAGCCTTCTGCCAAAACTATTGGCTAGGGAACGAATTATAGATTCACGAGACCAAAGATCACCTGGTTTATACAAGACGAACTATATCTCATGTTTAACCACTACAGAGACGTCCGAGTCAGCGGCAAACATCAGGATGACTAGCCGAGGAAAGGCTGCTCCAGGCGGGGGACACGAGCGCGAGCGTCCGGTGATCGCTTGGAATGGATCTCAGTCAAATTATCATAAATCTATAAATAAACCACAGATTTGAGCTTTAAAAAACTACTTTCTCGCCTGAAAAAAAATCGTAAAACTACATTTCGTGACTAGGGTTGGGTATCGTTTGAATTTGAACGATTCTGATTCCGATTCCTTGTTTCGATTCCGGTTCCTAACGATTCTCGATTCCGATTCTTTTAAGAGGCAGGGTCAAAAAAGTTTAGCTAACCTTGCTAACCAACGTCCTTTCTGAAGGAAATAATCCTTTCTGAAGGAAATACTCCTTCTGTAAAAATACTCCTTTTGTCACAAATTTTGCATTTTGCCGAGATTTCGTTATTTTTAGAAAAGTGAAGCCACACTTACGTCGGATCGCCGACGTAAGCTACTCATGTTCGACTCGCGTGGTTATGCCAATACTTCCGTTAGACGCTTCTTCGTTGGTGTTGTTCAGCGGTTTCTTCTTCCGGTCGACGGACTGTGAATATCGAAACTAGGAATCGAAATTTTTACTTTTGAACGATTCCGGGAAAAACGAAAAGTTAGTCTCGGTTCCAATCGATACTCGATTCTCGATACCCAACCCTATTCGTGACACAATAACAGTAGTATTATATTTCAACTGTATGCTTCTAATGCCCTTGTAGCACGCGCGAGTGACGATACTCTGTCCACCAATCACCGTTCTGCAGTGAGTCTAGCTCCAC